GGTCCTCCTCCCATGGTCACCTTTGTTAGCGGCGAGCTTTGTTTTTCCCCATTTTCTGACATCATTGTACCTTTTGCGACATCGTACAGCCATTCTTGTGATGCCTGAAGACGGGGACACAGTCGCCGATATCTCCTCCCATGCCCTTTTCACCTCAGGGAGCTTTGGTGGATTCAGAGTTGTTCCATGGATGATCTGCTCGTGCGCTTTAACCTCACGCACAAGATCTGTTTCCTCGCCACTGAAGCGTTCAGACTTCCCGCAACCCGCCATGTAGGCTAAATAACTAATCTGCCATGCGCACAACTTGCTCTTAAAGGGAATGGATAATGAGACTCTGATTGGTTTAATGGAAGTTACGCCCCGTGTTTTCCCATCCTTAAAATAGCAAAAGTGGATTCAGACATGCCCTAAATGCGTTTGCGCTTTGGGCTTTGCGCTTAGATCGTTAAAATTGGGCCCATTGAGTCTGAGCATATCACTGGCTTGTATGGCTTGACTTCCTCTACCTATTGTAGTGGTATTAGAATAGCCATCATTTCAGCAGAGTAAATGGTGAGGTGATTTGAGGTTCGTTTTTGTATTTAACGCTATATTTGGGAATGTATACTGCCGCCCCAGTTTTACTGGTTGGTTTTTTTGATGCATCTGTATATATTTGTACTGTTCCATTATACATTATTTCAGTTTAGACTTCACTTCCTGTTTGGCTTTATTAATCGCTTGTTCATTAGAGTTTGTTCTGTTAATTAACAACGAAGACATCAGCTTGAAAGTGTTTGAATCATGTAAACAGTATTTTAGTGGTTTCAGTCAGTGTGCTGGAGAAGACTCCTAATGTATGGTGTAAAATGTGAATAAATAGACATCTTTTATTATGTCACTGTCTCTGTCGGATTTTCAGAAAAGCCTAAAAATGCTCTTAGAAATGCACTTTTCACTTTTTAAAATGAGAATTTAAACTGGACAAAAAATGCACTTATCTAGTAGTAGTATGACCTCAGGGTCTATCTCTACACATGTCTGAGTAAGTTATTTTATTTAATATTAAACATGGCTGTTCTTGGTTTAATAGGATGCAGAGGAAATATACATGGAGAATGTGATGCAACCGAGAGAAGAACAAACCTACAATTACAAGTAAGTAGCGAGCGGATTCTTTCATGTTTGTTGACGGATGTTTCTGAATATTCACTGCAGATATCTTGATATGCATTAAAGGGTTCATGATATGCATTGATTTTATTTTAATATTTTTCAAGGTGTTCACAAAAAAATAAATAAATTGGCTCTAAAAATGAGTATCACCCTTAAAATTTCTAAATATTTTTAATTAAATAATGAGCATGTGTATTTCAGAAATGTTATTAACTTTTGTTAAACTGCTAACGTAAGCGATTGTTCACAACATAGAGAGGATAATAAAACACTACACTCAAATTCAACGCAAATACAATTACACCCTCTCGTAATCTAATCTAAATCGGTTATTTTGGATTCATGGCGTCCATGAATTTTCCTGTTAATTAAAATTTTATTTAATGTTTTCTCTTCACACATTCAGTGAGGTGCACTCATTCATTATATTATTTTATTAAAATACTTCCAGTTTTGCCAATAAAACAGATTTGCAGAAGTATCTCTATTTATATAATCAATATAAAACAGTCATTCACAGTTAATCAGCAGTCTGAGATGTTTTAACCGTCTGTTTATTTCTGATGCTGGGATTCTCCTGATGTTTGACACAAATGAGCTGTTTAAAGTTTCTCTCTTTGTTCTGTTGTTTAGCAGACTCAAGCGTATGGAGAACATTAGAAACTGGACACATATACCACATCCACAGCAGACATCTTCAGTGATTTTCATGGCTTGTATTTATTTTCAGAGGAAATGCAGGTAAAAAAAAACAACTGTTATTCATCTTAGAGTGTGTTCTTGATAAACATTAAAGCATTTCACTTTATTAACACTCCTGTTAACACTGACTGTGGCTAATAAAATGAGTAACACATCAAATCAAAAACCAGATTTCTTTGTATTTCCTACTTTAAAATAGATTTACATTTAGCAGACGCTTATATCCAAAGCATGAAGATTATTAAAGCACTTCAGATCACCAGAAAACAACAAGATGTAGATGCAGTGACAAGTCTTAGTTATTTTAGCTGTGTGTGAATTTTTATTATCTTGAAATAAGTAAAGAAGCAGGACAAACAGATGGTTAAAGAATACATTAGGGAGTGCTGTTGTTGGAAAATTAAGTGCTGCTGAAACAGATCAGGGCTCAGTGGTTAGCACTTTCACCTCACAGCAAGCAGGTTGCTGGTTCGAGTCCTGGCTGGACCAGTTAGCATTTCTGTGTGGAGTTTGCATGTTCTCCCTGTGTTTGTGTGGGTTTCCTCCAGGTGCTCCAGTTTCCCCCACAGTCCAGACACATGCAGTATAAGTGAACTGAATTAACTAAATTGGCCGTATTGAATGAGTGTGTGAATGAGAGTGTATGGGTGTTTCCCAGCATGGTGCTGGGTTGCGGCTGGAAGGAAAGCATTTTTACAGTGCATTTGTTCTTAAATGCTAAAAATTCCATCACATGTATGCTTGTACATCAAACACATTCAGCTCAGTAACGTTAAATCCAGCTAATCTTTGTTAAATCTACAAACGTTGTCATTTCTTGTTCCTGGATGATCTCATTTGAAACACAGTAATCAGCAGTAATCAGCCTTTAAAAAATAGAAGAAGCACTTATTTTGGACAAATGTGACTTTATTTCAAACTTTAGTACAAAATTCATCATTGTCATCAGTTGTGAGGCTTGTCGCCCCAAACTAATGTCAGTTTTTGTCCGTGTTCAGCTCAGCACCACCTTTAAGATGGGCAGTTTCCAGTGGCACCACGTGGAGGAACGGACATCGCCACCTATATATACAGGGTTTGGATTATCACTCACCATGAACTACAACTAGACACAAAATCACTAGTCAATAAATGATGTCCTCCAACCATAAATCATATACCACATTAGCAAAACATTAGACTAGAGAAGGTTGTATATGAGGACAATATTAAAGCAAATACTAAAGGTAGTAACTTTATTCATCTTCAGAACACAAATGAAGATATCTGAATGAAAATAATGAAGATATTTTAGTTAAATCTGAGAGCTCCTTAATCTCTCATAGACAGCAAGATTCCTGACTATGAGGATACTTTTATGTGCACATAAAACAAACATAACTTTATTCAACAGTTTCTTCCCTCAGTGTCAGTATAGGGCACGCGTTCACGTGTTGCGCCTCTGACATATAACCTTGGATGTGCCTGTTAAGTTTTTAAGAGAGGAAGTCAGAGAGGAAGTCGCACAGGCATCCGTGAGGTATATCTGAGGTCACTGCACAGGGCTTGTGAACGCGTGCCCTATAATCACACTGAGGAGAAGAAACTGTGAATAAAAATGTTTGTTTTATGTGAAGGCATAAAAAATAATAGATGTAATAAATAATTTAACTTACTTTTTTACATGTTTTATTTAATATCTTTTTTATTTCTAGAATAATCTCTGATTAGTCAATAACATAGCCAGTTATAGATTTATATTTCAATACAGGCAGTTTTTTATTGTTTTATTTATTAATGATGTTTTTTATTTTATTATTTTCACTTTTTTATTTATTAATGGTGTTTTATATTTTATCAGGAGTCTCTCTCCTCTGGCTCAAATTACATTTTTTAGAGAGAGACACTCAAAATATTTGGACCTGGACTGGAAACGACACATAAAACAGAAATAACTTTATTCAACAGTTTCTTCCCTCAGTGTCAGTATAGGGCGCACGTTCACGTGTTGCGCCTCTGACATATAACCTTGGATGCGCCTGTGAAGGTTTTAAGAGAGGAAGTCAGAGAGGAAGTCGCACAGGCATCCGTGGGGTATATGTCACTGCACAGTGCTTGTGAACGCGTGCCCTATAATCACACTGAGGAGAAGAAACTGTGAATTAAAATGTTTGTTTATTATTTTGTACTTTTTTAATTGTTTTATTTATTAATGGTGTTTTTTATTTAATTATTTTTTACTTTTTATAGTTTTATTTATTAATTATGTTTTTTATTTTATTATTATTTTTTACTTTTTAATTTTTTTTATTAATGATGTTTTTTATTTTAAATTTTTTTTTACTTTTTATTGTTTTATTTATTAATGATGTTTTTTTTTTTTTTTTTTTTGTACTTTTTTATTGTTTTATTTTATTAATTTTCTTTCCAGTTTTGTGGACAAATTGGCTGGTGAGTGATAATGTTCATTGGAAACCCTGTATATATATCAGTTGATCCCAGTAGTCATTGGTCAGGAGTCTCTCTCCTCTGGCTCAAATTACATTTTTTAGAGAGAGACACCCAAAATATGTGGACCTGGACTGGGAACGACTGAGATATTTATTTTTATTAATTATTTTGTTAGACTTTTTATTTTAGCACGTGGAAGTGCAAGAGTTAAAGCAAAAGCTGATATAAAAGTGGTGAAGGGCTATGTACACTATATGAAGGTCTAAACTTTTTTTTTTTTTTGCTTTATCTTTTTCTTTTTTTGTTTTCCTTTACATGGAATTTAATTAGAGCCAGTGTAAATGTTAAAATAAGCTATAAACCTGCAGAACCAAATTATGTTCAGCTTTCTATGGATCAATTTCTGTTTAGCTATAGGACTATGGTGGTGTGGTTGGAATGGCTAGATCCACCCATTAAGTGAGGACATTTCTCCTCATTTCTCCTCCTCTTTCTTGTTCTCCTCCTGAAACGAAAACAGTGATCAGGTTTACAGCTTTAATGAATTAAAAAAACAACATATCATTAAAAGAAAAGCAATAAAGTCAATTTAAAAAAGAAGTTTAAGAACACAAGACTGTCGTCTGACACTAGCTGGGCTTCCATCAGCCTGTGTTGATGCACCTTTTCAAGTATCACATGAGAAACAAGTTTAAATAAGTTTTTAATTACAAAATATATATTTAGTGAACTTTGAAAAGATGTGCTTCACATTATAATGGAAACTCAGCTCATGACAGATTCATTTGACTGATGACAAAATCCTTTAAAGTCTTTTCATTACCTTAAACCAGGCATGGTCAAGGAGTGCATTCAACGTATGCCTGGAAGAGGGCAGAGGCTGCAGACAACAGCTGATGAAATCACAGCATTCTGTGTAGAAAAAAAAGGAAGAAGTACATTTTATTATTAACTTAAAGTTATACATGCTTTTTTCATTGACGTTCAAAATGTCCTACATAGCCATCTTTAGCTGAAGTGGAGATCTCACCTTTTGACCTTCCATATTGGTAAAAATCTTTGTTTTTCATCCTGCGGATGTCATGCTTGCCTGGATAAATTTTTAACATTAACAAAAACTGAAGAATCCCGAGTGACCACACTGTTGCTGGCTCTCCGTTGTAATAGCCATTCCTTTTAAACTCGGGAGGGCTGAACTTCATTGTGCCTGAAAGAAAGAGATTTTGTTTTCATTAGCACAACATCTAAATTTCCCTCTGAAAATGTAAACAACAGTATAGATCAGGGGTGACTAAACCCAGTCCTGGAGGATCTGTGTCCTGCAGTTTAGCTCCAGCCCCACTTAGACACACCTGAACAAGCTAATCAAGCTCTTACTAAGTACACTAGTCATTTTCTGTCAGGTGTGTTGAAGCAAGTTGGAGCTAAACTCTGTAGGCCACCGGCCCTCTAGGACTGAGCTGTGGCACCCCTGGTATAGATAAACAACAGTGAATGTTTCAAGAGTCCCATGTGAATGACCCTTGACCCATCACAAGAGCTCCGTAGAGCTTTGAAGGATTTACATACCTCGATATTTTCTGTAAAAGCTGTCAGTAAGGAGTTCACCACAACCAAAGTCAATCAGTTTGACTTCATAGGTCTGTGGGTTAATCAGCAAGTTGCCAGGCTTGATATCGCGGTGAAGCACTCCACGTTTGCAGCAGGTGTCAGCTGCAATTGTTGCCTGGTACATGATTTTCCGTATTACCTCCTCTTGGATTCTGTCTTCGTGTTCTCTTAAAAATTCACGTACGCTCACACAGGGTGTGGGCAGCTCTAGGACCATAAAGTAGCGATTAGCCTCCACCTTCCAGTCCAGAAGCTGAACGAGTTCTTTAACCTCGGGGCCTTTAGTGGCAAGAAAGTGCAGAGCGATCTCCGCTGGAAGTGGCTGGTCAAAATCATCCTAGAAGAAAAACAGTTGTTAAGATCATTTGATGGAAAAGTTATTTCCTGTTAAAACTGTTGGTGACGTCTAACATAAAAACCAGTGGGCAGATAATAGAGAGCAAAACAAAGACAGACACATTTTCAAAGGAGATTAACTGACACTTAGCATGTTTTTAAAATATCTGCAAACATATTATGGTATTTTTGTGCTTTAAAAGAGTCAAAAACTTACATACAGCACCTTTAATATGACATGTTTAAAATAGAAACAGTTAATCAGAGCAAAGAGCACAGACTACTTACAACACGGATGAATCGCTTAACGCTGAAATCTGCAATTTTTACTGCCACTTGAAAGCCATCTTGTAAACGGGTCGCTGCGAAAACGGTTCCAAAGCTTCCTTTGCCCAGCTCAGCACCGATTTCATAAGACTTTGAGTTGATCTCTGTGAAAAGAGAAAGAAGAGAAGTTAATAAAATTTAGGAATTAGTGACAGTGCTACCTTCATCTAAAACTACCTGCTCCATCAGGGGTCACAACAACAGAATTAACCCCATCATCTAAAACCTTTTTAATTTTGTATTTCCTATACATATGATTATGATTTTCATGATTTATATATACATTTCTATCTCAGTTATCAGCTATCCCTGAACAAAATGTGTATTAAAGCCAGTATAAAGCATAAAAATCATAAAAACACTATTAAAATAAGCTTGTGTGTTGGGTGAGTAGGGTGTCATGATAGTAAACTTACTAATGACGTGTTTGTCTTTATCCTTCTGCTTTTTTGGCTGATGTGGAACAGCGCCCTTTGTCTGACAAGTTGCACCTTTACCAACATCTTTACAGCCGAGCTTAGCAGAGACCACATTTAGAGAGGGGTTATAACTACAGCTGGGCTTAGGAGAGACCACATTTGGAGGGTCATCATGACTACAGCCGGGCTTAGCCGAGACCACATTTGGAGGGTCATCATGACTACAGCCGGGCTTAGGAGAGACCACATTTGGAGGGTCATCATGACTACAGCCGGGCTTAGCCGAGACCACATTTGGAGGGTCATCATGACTACAGCCGGGCTTAGCAGAGACCACATTTGGAGGGGGGTCATCACCACAGCCAGACTCAGCAGACAGAAATTCTGTAGAGGGGTCATCACCACAGCCGGACTCAGCGGACAGAAAAACTGTAGAGGCGTCATCACCACAGCCAGACTCAGCAGACAGAAAATCTGTAGAGGCGTCATCACCACAGCCGGACTCGGCAGAGAAGAAGCTGCTGTAGGAGCTGACTGTGAGCTCACTACTACAGTTGAATCCGGCTGAGTAAATCTCTTGGGGGTAGTCATCACTACTGCTGGACTCAGCGTAGAAAAGGTTTAGAGGAACATCATCACTGCTGGAGGAGCTGGCCGAGTCCTCACTGTGACCATCGACAGGCTCTACCAGTGATAATTCTTCACCGTGAACACTGTCAGGCTCTACCAGTGATGGTTCTTCACCGTGAACACTGTCAGGCTCTACCAGTGATGGTTCTTCACCGTGAACACTGTCAGGCTCTACCAGTGATGGTTCTTCACTGTGAACACTGTCAGGCTCTACCAGTGATGGTTCTTCACTGTGAACACTGTCAGGCTCTACCAGTGATGGTTCTTCACTCTGGCCATCAACAGGTTCCTCCAGTGATGGTTCCTCAGTCTGAATATTGATCTGTTCTTCCAAATGCAAAGATGATTCTTCACACCAGTCACCGATTTGTCGACCTGAAGGAAGGAACAATATGAAACAAAAGATTTTAGTTTTACTTGAATAATATGTATCCAGTGTTTATTATTGATATGAACAAATGCTGTCTGTTATTAAGTGACTTTTAAGGTCATTTCGTTCTACTTTTAGTTGTTGGTCATTAAATTTAAAATGTCACATGATGAAATTACACTTAATAATCAAATTCACTTTGCAATTAATGATTTGTTTTGTATAAAAACATGTCAATATGAACGTATAGCTGTTAAAGTTTGTATCATATAACAATAAATAAAATAACCCTAAGCTTGGTAAAAACAACTAAAAACTATGAGAAAAGTTTTCATGTTTTCCACTACAAAAACCATTAAAACATTAAATATCAGCATTTGTTATCCATTAAAACCACTGCATTGTGTTTTAGGACATATTCCTGAAGGATTTAGGGGTTTAGGACTAAAAATTACAAGCAGAGACAAGGGATCTAACAGGGGTGTCAAACTCAAATCACATTGAAGGTTTTAATATTTTATTTGTTGATTTTGTATGGCAGTAAACAATATTTCTGTTCATTTTCATAACAAATTATAATGTTTTAGGTGAAATCTTAGAGCTCCTTCATCCTCCATATAGCAAGGGTCCAGACTCATTCAAAGGCCAGAAACATCCAAAAAACAGAGGAAGCCATGCACAGGCATCCAGGGCTTTTATCAGTGCAAAGTGCTTGTGAACGCATGTAATATACCAACACTGAAGAGAATAAACTGTTTGATAAATTTGTTTACACAAAAGTATTCTTGTAGCTTGATAATATACTGACTAAACCACTGTTGGCATTTGGTCTGTTTGAGGTAGTTATGTGGTATTTTTATGTACTCTGAGCAAGTCAGGAACCTTGCTGTATATGCAGGATGAGAGAGCTTTCAGAAACATCTTCATTTGTGTTCAGAAGATGGAAGACGGTCTCAGGGGTTTGGAGTGACGTCAGGGTGAGTAATTAATTACAGAATTAGCATTTTTGAGTGAACACACACTTCCATCTTGAAGCAGAGAAAATGATTTTGTATTTACGGATTATGAATGCATAATGGAAAAAACTTTATGCAAAGTAGAAATACTTTACTCTTTAGTTTCTGTCTTGTTTCTAGTCCAAATATCAAAACATGAAATCAAAAAGCATTTTCTTAACAAGTAAAAATACAGTGTTTTCAGAAATATGTCAAAATGAACTGAGTTTTCCTTAAAACAAGCTAAATAATCTGCCAGAGGGGAAGTCAAATGTATTTCAAAGCATTATTTTGCTTTCTCCATTGGCAGATAATTTTGCTTTTTTAATGAAAAAAAAACTTAATTTTTGACTCATTATTTCTAAAAACCAGACAATATTTTTGCTTCTCTAGAAAAAAGACTCTTGATTTAAGAATTTTGAGATATCTGGACTAGAAACCAGACAAGAGCTATTATTTTATATTAATGTTGGCACCATATTAGACACATATGTTTGACACTACATGTGTTTAAAGCTTAACTGTTAGGCCTGTATTAAAATTCATTATTTTTATGAATAATTTTTACATTTAGGTAAAACAAGTGTAGAGCCCTACAAAAACTCCAGTATACAAAATGAGCAACATGTTCTTATAACACAAAACATTATTTACCATCACTGTTGGCCACGGAGGGTACCGTGACCAGTTCTTCTTCTTGACGGTCGAAGCTTTCATCTTGACCTGAGACGGTGGACTTGATGTTTCTTTCTCTCAGGAAGAGAGCTATTACTCCGAGTACGGTAAATAACATTTTTGGGTTAATTTCTGTAGCAAATTATTCAAAGCAAACTTTGTACAACTCAACTAGACACTTTTCAAGTAAGAGTAATGGCGAATGTGGAATGTAAGAGGTGTCTCTCGTAAGAATTCGAATGTGTTCCAGCGTTCCCCAGCCAACTGATGCGTGATTGGTCAGTTTTGCACTGTGTATTTTCAACGTCTCTGAGTTAAAAAATACACTAGACGGCTGTGTTTACTTCACGGGTGTTTTTGGAGCAAAATAAACGGATTTTTCAGGAAATCTTTGTTTGACTCAAATATTTCCTGTATGATGAATCATAACAGGGCGTTTGGTGAACCTGAGATTTTAATTAGGGTCGATTTAAATACATTTTCAGGTAAGATCTTGGCATTTATTCTGCACTTCAAATGTAAGTTATTGGCGATTAGCGCTTGTAACGCTAGACACATGAAACACGAGATATTATAGTGTATATCCATTAAAATCCGCAGATCTGCCGAATCAAACTCCATCTACACTGCAAATACAGGAGTAACGTTGTGATGCTGAGATTAATAAAATGGCGGCGTTTCTCACTGATTCCTGTTTGGCTTTATAAATTACTAGTTCATTAGAATTTGTTCTGTTATTTGACAACAAAGAAAAGAAATACATGTATAATGTTAATTAATGTTCAAAATTAAATATAGACACTCTTATTTTTTATATCTACTTGTTAAAGAATGACAAAAATTCTATTTTTACAGTATTATAACAATAAAATATGAATAAAGTTATAAATAATAGTATATCACTTAGTTAAATATAAAATAACTAATGAAGTGTCTGAATTATGTAAACATTATATTTGTGTATTCAGTCAATGTCCTGGACTATCACTTTCTCATGTTGGATTTTGAGAAATCTAGTGTTGTTATCTCTGCACATGTCTGAGTGTCTGTAAATCATTATAATAATATTAAACATTGTTGTTCTTGGTTTAATAGGATGCAGAGGAAATATACACAGAGAATGTGATGTGACAGAAAGAAGAACAAACCTCCAAGCACCACAAGTATGTAGAGAGCAGAATATTGCATGTTTGTTGAGAATTGTTTCTGAATGTTCATTACAGGGATCATGATGTAGATTAAAGACATGGATTTATTTTATTATGATCTTAGATGTTTACATAAAAAAAGAGTTAATGGTTTAATTTCTGACTTATGACATTTTAATGCAGATGAACAATATACACTCACCGGCCACTTTATTAGGTATACCTTACCCATACCGTTTTGGACCCTCTATTGCCTTCAGAACTATTGTAATTCTTTGTGGCATAGATTCAACAAGGTACTGGAAGTATTCCTCAGAGATTTTGGTCCATATTTACATGATAGCATCAGGCAGTTGCTGCAGATTTGTTGGTTGCACTTTCATGATGCTAATTTCCCGTTCCACCACTTCCCAAAGATGCTCTATTGGATTGATATCTAGTGATTGTGGATGTCCTTTGAGTACAGTGAAGTCATGACTTGTGCTTTATGACATAGCATGTTATCCTGCAGGAAATAGCCATCAGAAGATGAGTATACTGTGGTCATAATGGGATGGACATGGTCAGCAATAATATGCAGGTAGGCTGTGGCGTTGACACAATGTTTAAGTGATACTAATGGGCCCAAAGTGTGTCAAGAAAATATCCCCCTACACCATTACACCACCACCACAAACACCAGCCTGAACTGTTGATACAAGTAAGGATGGATCCATGTTTTCATGTTGTTGAAGCCAAATTCTGACCCTACCATCTAAATTTTGCAACAGAAATCAAGACTCTTCAGAGCAGGCAACATTTTTCAATCTTCTATTGTCTAATTTTGGTGAGCTTGTGTGAATTGTAGCCTCAATTTCCTGTTCTTACCTGACAGGAGTGGCACACGGTGTGGTCTTCTGCTGCTGTAGCCCATCCGCCTCCAGGTCGAGTGTTGTGTGTTCAGAGATGCTCTTCTGCATTGCTCGATTGTAACAAGTGGTTATTTGAGTTACTGATGCCTTTCAATCAGCTCGAACCAGTCTGGCCATTCTCCTCTGACTTCTGCATCAACAAGGCATTTGCACCCACAGAACTGCCGCTCACTGGATATTTTCTCTTTTTCGGTTCATTCTCTGTAAACCCTAGAGATGGTTGTGTGTGAAAATCCCAGTAGATCAGCAGTTTTTGAAATACGCAGACCAGCTCGTCTGGCACTAACAACCATGCCACGTTCAAAGTCACTTAAATCACCTTTCTTCCCCATTCTGATGCCCAGTTTGAACTTCAGCAGATCGTCTTGACCATGTCTACATGTCTAAATGCATTGAGTTGCTGCCATGTGATTGGATGATTAGAAATTTGCATTAACGAGCAGTTGGACAGGTGTACCTAATAAAGTGACCAGTGACTGCTTATTATCTGGTAAGAATTCAAGCATGTTTAAAAGATGATACACAATTCCTCATAAATCTTTATTCGATAGTTTCGATAGCTGCCATTAGAATATCTGTGTACATGCCAAATTTTTATCTCTATCATTCAGAAATTTAACAATCAAATGATAGTGTAATACAGTTAGGATGCACTGGAATATTTTCTGCGCAACCTTTGAAAATTGTAAATGGTTTAAATAATGACCATTTGTTTTGCAGATTTTATTAACACTTTTATTAAACCGTTTACATAAGAGTATCCTCACAATATTTACATGATAATAAAACACGACACTCAAATTCAACAAGGTATTGTAAATACAATTACACTCTTTAGTAATCTAAGTATTTCTTATTTTGTATGCATGGCGTCCATGAATTTTCCTGTTAATTAATATTTTATTTAATGTTTTCTCTTCACACACATTTAATGAGGTGCACTCATTCATTATATTATTTTTTTTAAATAGTTCCAGTTTTGCCAATAAAAAAAACAGATTTGCAGAAGTATCTATATTTATATAATCAATATAAAACAGTCATTCACAGTTAATCAGCAGTCTGAGATGTTTTAACCGTCTGTTTATTTCTGATGCTGAGATTCTTCTGATGTTTGACACAAATGAGCTGTTCAAAGTTTCTCTCTTTGTTCTGTTTTTTAGCAGACTCAAGCGTATGGAGAACATTAGAAACTGGACACATATACCACATCCACAGCAGACATCTTCAGTGATTTTCATCGCTTGTATTTATTTTCAGAGGAAATGCAGGTAAAAAAAAACAACTGTTATTCATCTTAGAGTGTGTTCTTGATAAACATTAAAGCATTTCACTTTATTAACACTCCTGATAACACTGACTGTGGCTAATACAATGAGTAACACATCAAATCAAAAACCAGATTTTTTTGTATTTCCATTGCTATGACTGAACTTTAAATAGATTTACATTTAGCAGAGGATTTTATCCAAAGCATGAAGATAATAGAAGCACTTCAGATCAACAGAAAACAACAAGATGTAGATGCAGTGACAAATCTTAGTTATTTTAGCAGTGTGTGAATTTGTATTATTATCTTGAAATAAACAAAGAAGCAGGACAAACAGATAGTTAAAGAATACAATAGGGAGTGCTGTTGTTGGAGGATTAAGTGCTAGTGAAGCAGATCAGATTGTCTTAAAAATGACCAGAGACTAGGGTTCCACATTATATCGTTTCAGCATTGATATCGCAATGTGCAAATCAGCAATAGTCAGATTGCTGGGATCTCAATTTCAAGTAGGGATTATAATTAACCAGTAAATACAGAGCACATGATTTGATTACAAAGTTTAAACCTACAGTATCACTAATCCTTATTTTTCATGGTTGAATCTTTCATCTTGACCTGAGATGGTGGTATAGATGTTTCTTTCTCTCATGAAGAAAGCAATAACTCAGAGTACGGTAAATAACATGTTGGTTTAATTTTCGTACTCTTCAAGAATTCACACGTAGCTCATGATTTATACATAGCTTTTTTGGCATGCTGTCCCGGGAGAGAGCCCTGAGCTCAGGGATCGTCGAGCTCAGGGCTTCCCCCTTTTGCATGGTAAGGAGAAATTGAGCTCAGGTTAATCTCAAACTCCCCCGCTGCTGAGGCTAAGGTAAACTTCCTGAGAGTAAGACGTTAAAACAAAAGATTTAGGCTCACTTTATCTGTAATATAGCGAATATTTGGACGGTGGGAGGAAACCGCGGAACCTGGGGGAAACCCACGCGGACACGGGGAGAACATGCAAACCTCAAACAGAAATACCAGATGGCCCAGTGAGGACCCGACGCCATTGGTATTCTTGCTGTGAGGCAACAGTGCTAGACACTGGATTAATCTTCACTTAAATATGAGAAATGTTAAATAAACCTACAATAAATACTGAAATTTACTGTAAGTAATACTCGTTTATCAGAATGAGCCTTAATAAACCATACGCTACCAATTGACAATGTATGAAAAGCAAACTATTCAAAGCAAACTTTGTACAACTCACTACAGGGCTCGAAATTGCGACCGTTTTGGCCGCATATGCGCCCGAAATTTTATCTATGCGACCTCAAATATATTTGGGAGCATTTGTGCGAGTGCATAAAATTGTTGTGCGCGATAAGATTTTACTGCAAAATGTTCACCACATGCGCGGATTTGTTTAAACAGTTGTCATGTCAACTTGCTGCAGTAAACAAAGCCAAGTTTGTAAGGCTTGCCCCACCTTCGCACTCTTCTTATTGGCCCACTGCTCTAGCACTGAAATATCAGCTGTCAATCACTCAGTCAATGCCTTTTGGCTTGGGATGACAGAAAGCTACTACCGCGAAACATTGTAAAGCGCTGAAGATGAGAATAAAGATAACACTGACAGATTTTGTTTTAGAAACCGTGACGTCTAAAGTTACAAATAATGACACATCTTACTAGTGATCATGTGCTGAATGTTAATCCACCATCTATACTTTTCCAAGAGTGGATAAAAGACTTCTATTGACTTCAAGTCCGCTATGAAAAATCTGTGGGATGGAATTTTCAGGTAACTGTCTGCCACATTTAGCACGAGAGCTTCTGTTTAATCCTTCATTTA